CCAATCCCCCAATCGGCCCTACCCTGAGCGTGACTGAGGGTGGCATTGCAACCTCCCGATCTGCCCTGCTCTGTGCATGACGGGGCGGCGCCCCAACTCCCCAATCGGCCCTGCTCTGAGCCTGACCAGGGGCTGCACTTAGGGATTGGGCCTGCCCTCTGCCACCCGGGAGCAGGCCTAAGCCAGCAGGTCGTTATCTCCTGAGGGGTCCCAGACTGCGAGAGGGCACAGGCCGGGCTGGGGGACCCCCCTCCCCTCGCCCCCCGAGTGCACAAATTTTTGTGCACCGGGCCTCTAGTTATAATATAATTAAGCAAATACTAGAGTAAAGAATTCTATGATAACAGTGCATGTTCACAACTGGTGAGACAAACTCTATTCATGTAGAGATTTTGATTTCAGCCCCTTGTAAGAGAGTTATAAGATAGTGGCAGCATCTAATCTTGAGGTAGGTAGATAGCGGTAAGATGGCCAATGATGAATAATTTTAAAATCAATCTGTGGCTCAATGTGGTGAGCTTCAAATCACCTTACTGCTGTGGGCTGTGGGGTGAGGGAAGCCACTGTGGTGAAAGGGATAAAACACAGATGTGGTAACACTCTCAGCATTCCTTGCTCCAAATCCATTCCTGTTCTCTAATTGCTCAGAGACCTCAGATTCCTTTTCCTAAAGTTTCCTGAGCTATAGAGAACCCATGTCTCCCAAGCTGAGTCCTGCTGCCTTCCTCACTCAGTGGCCCGGCTGCTCCACTTCCTTCTGGGGGTAGGTGGGAAACCTGGGAGAGGCTGGTGTCTGCCCTCTTGGACATCCCTGGTGACCTGCAGTCCATGATGAAGAGGCCAGTGAAGGGGTGGCTATAGTGTCAGGGCTTCTCCATGCCCCACAGCTTCGGAGACACTGCAGCAAAGGAGAGAACTGCCATGCGAGGCTTCCGAAAGGTCCCTGAGCTGGAGTGTGATGAGAAAACCCAGGTCAGGAGGAGCCTGCGAGGAGGGAAGAGTGGTCCCAGCCACAGCAGGACGCGAGGAGTGGTGCTGGGCTGCAGATGTGTTTCCACATAATCGCAATGCAGGGAACCGGTGGGCGAGGCCGTTCTCATTGTGCAAATCAGACACTTTTCTGAAAATTCTCTCCCATAACCCCCTATCCTCATGTGTAGCCTTGACCTCTGAACCTAAAATATTCCAAGAGTATATTAATGACAGCTAAATCGTCATGGCACAGCATCACGTTTACTAGAGCACTGCCTCTCAGCCATCCCATGGGTTCCCTGTATTTGCAGCAAAATGTTTTCCTACAGGAACAATGACACATCTGTCTTTACTTTCAGGTCTTCTCTGTGTCATGTCCTTACTCACAAGTGACAATGATGATGGTGATGATGATGAGAGCAGGGAACATTTACATAACGCTAAGCACTTCTCAAACATTAACTCATTTCATCTTCAGGAACACCCTCTGGGGTAGGTACCATTATTATCATTCCCATTTTACAGATGAGGAAACAGAGGTACAGAGTTAAGTAATCTACGGTCACACTCTGGTTAGTGATGGAGTCAGGATTCAAATCCATTCTCTCTGGCTTTGCTGTCTGTGCTCATAACCACTTTTCAATAGTGTCTTCCAACTGTCTCTTCTTTTTTTTTAAAAAATATATGTTTTATTGATTTCATAGAAGAAGAGAGAGAGAGAGAGAGAGAGAGAGAGAGAGAGAGAGAGAAACAAAACATCAATGATGAGAGAGAATCATTGATCGGCTTGCATGCCCCATACCGGGGATCAAGCCCACAACCCGGGTGTGTGCCCTTGGCCAGAATTGAACCCGGGACCCTTCAGTCCACAGGCCGGTGCTCTATCCACCAAGCCAAACTGGCTAGGGCCTCCAACTGCTTCTCAAATGATATAGGAACTAAAACCATCATTTATAGTGTCCAAAGGTTGAGGAAATTTGTGTCAGCCATAAAGTATTCCCATCCTCGCATGAATGTATCCAAACATTTACTGACCACCTCTTACCTGCCAGACCACCACACAGGGGATAAGACCAATACAGACATGAGCTTACAATCATTTTGGGAAGTCAACAAATTAAACAAGAATCACAGTGATGTGTGACAAGGATTATGCTAGATGAAATATAACATAACAGATGAAGTAAAAAATAGCTAATATTTATTGGGCATTTTGCTTTGTACTGCTAGGTACTGCTCTCACTGCTTTTTATGGATTCTCTCATTTAATCTTGACAGCAACCCTATGAGGAAAGTATCTTTTATCCCCATTTTCTAGATGAGGAAATGAGGTGCAGCAAGCTCACATAATTGCTGAGTGACCCAGCTATTTAATGGGGGAGCCAAGATCATAGGAGAACACATCTGGGGGGTTAACTTAGCCTGGGGGTTAGAGAGTCCAGTTTCATCCACTGGTGAGCAGTATACATTGAGATAATAAACAATGGGAAGCCTTTTCTTCATTTGCTCATTTACATGCATTTATCAGGCTTCTTCAATATGCAAAACATCAAAGGAGGAGGTGGGGTTGGTGGTGGGTGGGTACAGAGATGGATAATATAGAGCAGGGGTCCTCAAACTTTTTAAACAGGGGGCCAGTTCACTGTCCCTCAGACCGTTGGAGGGCCGGACTATAGTTTAAAAAAAACTATGAACAAATTCCTATGCACACTGCACATATCTTATTTTGAAGTAAAAAAACAAAAGGGGAACAAATACAATATTTGTATTTGCATGTGGCCCGCGGGCCATAGTTTGAGGACCCCTGATATAGAGTGTTTGCATTTAAGGAGACACAATTCAGTAGCCATACTGTATTAAGTTTTTAAGGATATAAAAGATAAGAATCGCTCCTTGGTCTCAAATAGATTAGCATTTTAACAGAGGAGTGGAGGAAGGCAAGTTGTCTGTGCAACGTGATGGAGAGCCTAGGATGGCCTCGACAAGAGCTGAAGATTTTCGGTCACTTTGAGACCTTCAGCAAGCTCTAGACCTCAGAACATCAGGAATGAAGGCTCAGAACCCTCATTTTACAGATGGAAGTTGTCATAAAGTAAAGAAATATTTGAAAACTGGCAAGTTCTGTAATTCAAGTGTCCCTTTCACACTCTAAGATTGTACGAATCTTAACTTGAAAAAAAACTATGAACAAATTCCTATGCACACTGCACATATCTTATTTTGAAGTAAAAAAACAAAAGGGGAACAAATACAATATTTGTATTTGCATGTGGCCCGCGGGCCATAGTTTGAGGACCCCTGATATAGAGTGTTTGCATTTAAGGAGACACAATTCAGTAGCCATACTGTATTAAGTTTTTAAGGATATAAAAGATAAGAATCGCTCCTTGGTCTCAAATAGATTAGCATTTTAACAGAGGAGTGGAGGAAGGCAAGTTGTCTGTGCAACGTGATGGAGAGCCTAGGATGGCCTCGACAAGAGCTGAAGATTTTCGGTCACTTTGAGACCTTCAGCAAGCTCTAGACCTCAGAACATCAGGAATGAAGGCTCAGAACCCTCATTTTACAGATGGAAGTTGTCATAAAGAAATATTTGAAAACTGGCAAGTTCTGTAATTCAAGTGTCCCTTTCACACTCTAAGATTGTACGAATCTTAACTTGAAAATTATTGTTGAATTGTTCAATACTTAACATACTGTCAGGGGCTTTGATAAGCTGAAGGTGTGGGAATATAGTACCATGAAGCCTTCCTAGAATCTGTGAGAGGAACTTAAAAGGAAGACATCCCAGAGAACACGCAGGCGCCGCTCCCAGCACATGGACTTCAACTGGCAGGAGCTTGGAGGTGACGTGAAGGAGAGTGGTGGGGCTGGCATTGAGGAGGGCAGCAGGAGAGAGTGCAGGGCCAAATGGGAGCAGGCGGGAGGTTTGGGAAAGAAGAGGAGGAAGGACAGGAGAAATGTTTTTCTAGGTTTAAAACTTTTCCTTATTCGTTAACATAGGACTCATGTCAGATGTCAATATCTGTATGAGTGTGTGTTGGGCTTCTCATACATGGTTGACTTGAGTAAATGGATGGGGAGTGTCTAACGCCACGTTGAGGAAACTGGCAGAGATCAAGGCCCCCCCAAACCTCCTACATGGAGCAGAATTTTTATAATCTACACACTACTCTTTTACACTCAGAGCCTTTCTTCTTCAGGACCCTCTTTAAACTGGGCCCCTGTTTACTTGCTAGAGTTGGGGGGCAAGGGAGAAAGATGAGTTTCTTATTTCCTTTTAGACAGTGACTGTACCCTGAGCATCATCCATCGTGGAGATGGAAAAAAAGGGAAAAAATGGGGAGGGGGAGGCAAAAGAACCTGTGGAGGGCACTGCCTGGTAGCTCCAGTTCCTTGGGCTCCTGCTCCCCGGTTGAGGCTGCTCTGAATGCCATGCTGGCTTATTTATTATGTTTTATCCTTACTATTTAGTGATGGCTTATTTTGTTACTTGTTGTTCAAATCTGCACATGATCTTTTCCTCATGTTCTTCTTTTGTCACAAAGGCACTGTGGCTTTGGTTCCAAGAACAGCCATGAGCAGCTACCAAGGGGTGATCCTAGGAGTCATCTGTCTCAAGAATGTCATCTTGGAAACACTGTTGTGTGTCTTTGCCAATCAGGGAGGAATAGAGTCAGAGGCCCATTACATGCACTTCAGACATAGTCATATTCTTTAAAATATATATATGTATTTTATATAATATATATACATATATATTGATTTCAGAGAGGAATGGAGAGGGAGAGATAGAAACATCAATGATGAGAGAGAGTCATGGATCAGCTGCCTCCTGCAGACCTCATTGAGTCCACAACACAGGCATGTGCCCTGACTGGGAATGGAACTGTGACCTCCTAGTTCATAGGTTGATGTGCAACCACGGAGCCACACTGGCCAGGCAGACAGACATATTCTGAGGGAGGTCAGGACAGGATGGTCTTTTCCGGAGGACTTTGCCTCAAGCCTTGAATACATTTTCTCAAGAGTAGGACATGGAGATTTCCTCAGACTTCTAGAACATTTTAGTGTTATCTAAAGAGTACATAAGAGCTACTTGCTGTGACAAAAATTACACCAGGCTTGGAATCTGAAGATGTAGGTCTGAGATCCAGCTCTTTTACTTCCCAGCGACGGCCAAGTTTCCTCCTTCACAGCAGAATTATAAAGGGCAAAGGAGAAATGTTACGACAACACTTTGTAAACTGGAAAGTTGTGCAAATATTAGTTTGTTATTGTTACCTAGCAATACTCAGGAATTGTCCTTGTCTGGGTTCCCGTTAGGTAGCAGGGGCCTGTGTAACGAAGGCTCGGCAGGTTCAATTACAACTGAAGGGTGAAATTGGATGATAAAGGTTCTAATACAGGTTCCACTTTGAAACCTAGAATAAACCTCTGGAGGAACCCTGTACAAGTTTCTAGAACAGCTGCTTTGGTGCTAACTAATAATTCCTTTCACCAAGGACTGGATGAGAAGGACATTTTATACCACAGATTGTATAGGGTGTCCCAAAATTCACGCAAGATTTGAATTTTGCGTGAGCATTAACAACAACAACAACAAAAAAATAAAAGCCTAATTTTACTTAGTTTATTGAATCAGATTCTAATATCTGTTGCCCTTTAAGTTCAATCCCTTCAATTTGATAAGCATTACGAAGTACCAATTATGGCCCAGGAGCAGGGACAATGAAGACCAATGAAGACCACGGCTTTGCGTATGTGCCAGCAAAGCTGTGGAGGCCATTTACCTGATGTGCTATTCTATACATAACCCTATACTGTATACTTTATGAATCAATAAAAAATTTACAATTTTTAATTATAACCTGTGTTTTCTATCAAAATTACTTCTTGCGTGAATTTTGGGACACCCTATATTTAACTTCTGTCCCCACCCCCACCCCAACATTTGGTCTTGGGTGTTCCTGAAGGCATGGCACCCTCAGCAGCTCCTTCTCCTCCCCCGGGGCTCAGCCACAGGTGCTTCTCAAAAGTTGTCACTCCTCAGTGGTCTCTCTGGCTCCTGCTGTCTGCAGGGCTCAGGGCCTGACCCTTTGCTTCCGTTTCAGTCCCTGCTCTCCATCCCTGCTCTCCATCTCCTCCCTGGACTCGATGCTTCAGAGTCCTCCTGGCCTCCCAGGGCCCTCTCCTTTCTCATTGCCATCACCTGAGAGGGGAGGTAGGAGACGTGGGCTCCACATCCCCATGCTGGGCAGCCTGCCTTCTGCGGGAGCGAGTGTTTAGAAGTGTCTGGACCAGTGATGGCGAACCTTTTGAGCTCGGCGTGTCAGCATTTTGAAAAACCCTAACTTAACTCTGGTGCCGTGTCACATATAGAAATTGTTTGATATTTGCAACCATAGTAAAACAAAGACTTATATTTTTGATATTTATTTTATATATTTAAATGCCATTTAACATAGAAAAATCAACCAAAAAAATGAGTGTCATAGGTTCGCCATCACTGGTCTGAACTGAGGGTCTTCCCGTGTTCCTTAGCGTTCCCGAAAACCTCTGACACGCGTGTCATAGGTTCCCCATCACTGGTCTGGACTGAGGGTTTCCCGTGTTCCTTAGCGTTCCCGAATGTGCACTTTCTGATGCACAGGCGCTCCTCTACGTGGCTCCTCGACTCCTGTGACTCTTCCAGAGCCCCCTGGGCAGTCTCTCTGGAGCTCCCGCAGTTACGTATCACATTATTCTGAGAACACGGAGTCCCTTCTTTCCGCCGGGGAGGAGACCCCGTCTCATTAGCCCTGGGTGCTTTTCCTACGCTACACTCACTGCTGGGCCCTGCTCACTGCACTACTGCTGTTTTTTGCATCTTCCCAAAATGGATTTTCCTATGACCACTTGTGCCTAAAAGCCAGTCTAAGTCTCCAGATCCTCCCAGACAACTCACCTTGACCCCAAGGATAACTTTCTTACATGCTGGGCTATGTCCATTTTCTGGGCTCGCCTCTGTTTTAGATTCCCTTGGTCTCTGCTGAGTCCTGGGGCTTCGGGCCCCCATCTCAGGGCGCCCCTCCCCAGCTCCAGGGATTGCTTTGGGGACTGGTCTGCGGATCCCGTCTCTAGTCCCCGTGGTCGGAGCTGTGAAGGAAGAGCTTCCGGGCAAGATGCCACTCGCAAGCCTGTCTCCCTAAGAACAGCAGACCCGTTTCCTCTCTAGTTGTTCGGAAACCCACCCCTTCCCTCACAGCTGTGTGAAAAGAAGCCAAATGCCCATTCTTAATGTGTAACAACTGAGGCTCATATGCAAACTGCTGTTATCTCAGCAGGAGAGCAATTTGCAACCATTTAAAACCCTTTCACTCTTCTCTCCTCCTCAGTGGATGGGTGTGCACACACCAGTCCATATTTATTAGTGCAGATGGTGAGAAGCTCGTCATTGAAAGGGCTTAGAGCACAGAGGGAAATGGATTTTTGGCCTCACTCTGGCCTTATAAACAAGAAGGCTTGAATGATTTTAGGTTCCTGATTCTTGCCTCAAAAGAGCACAGTTTGCTTCTCTCCAAACACAAGAGGTTGCAAATTGGTAATTCATCTCAACCAAAGGCCACATGATGAGCCATTGTAGATGTATTTTTTTCTTTGTGTGCAAAGGAGGAACCCAACATCTGAGTGTGGGTTCCAGCTGGTATTTGCCTTTCACCATTTGCAGCCCGAAGACACTGTCATGGCCAGCCCTGGGCTCCGTGCACCCCCCGCCTTCCACTTGCCGGGCTATCGCCAGGAGAGAAGTCAGCTCCGCATTTCCATGTGACTTCTTCCTTTTTCATAGCTAAAAAATAAATCAGTTCTAATAAAAACATTTATACTATATTCTTTATTGTCAGCTAATCCTGCCCAAACTCATTAAATGGCAGTGTGTGGGTTATTTGCTGTCAGTGAAATTA